CACTGAACTCTTCTTCAAAAGATTTGAATTATCCTTTAAAGACCACACTTTCCACTTATCCAGTTATACTCTGTTTTTACTGAATGAAACAAGTCGTGTATTGATGTAAACTGTCATTTTGGCCATAAAACAGTTCACTGAATCTGCGTCCTTGTCCACCATCCGACATGTTGAAACACACATTTAAACGTACTTCCCCTCAGGGGGAGCAGGAAATATTGAGTTGGAAAAGACAAAAAGCAAACGATGAACCCATGATCTATAAATGTTTAACGAGAGCAGGCAGAGGAGATAAGATGCTTGGAGTAGGAGAAGGGGGACACACAGAGATAAATGTAGAGGTGAGAAAAGGAAGACAATGGCAGAGGAGATGGGTGAGGGGCAAAATGGGTGGCTTGTAGCGAGCGAGACGTTGAGAATAGTCTAATTATAGAAGCAGACATCAGAGCATGGCTCGAAAATAACAGAGAAGAGCAAAGAGGCAGAGATTTAGGGAAAAAGGGGGCCATAATAGGAGGTGTCTGGTGTTTGTCTAACAGAGAGGCTAGTAATGATTCCATTAGCGCTTCAGACCAAGATAGAGAGATAGAGAAACAAGGGGGAGAGACAGAAAGAATGGGAGGCACAGGGTGTGAAGGAAAAGGAGACAGAGACATCAAGATCCACACGGAACATTTGGGGACGACTTTAAGCATCAGAGCAGGAAAATGAGAGCAAAGAGTAAAACAAGAAGCCACAAAAAGAACGAGAAAGACAATCCAAGCCCTGCTCGTATGATTGCTCATATGGCAGTCCTTTTTATACGCTTCTCTCCCCAAACGCATCACTTCAACTCTGTGTGAAAGCTAACAAGAGAGAGGATGATTCAAATGCATTAGCGGCGTGCGTTGTCCCCATGAAAGACCTGCAGATTGTTTCAGGGCCAGGCCCTTTTGTTTGGAGGCTGATGACATGACTCTTTAAAAGCCCGACCCTCTTTCTCACAGACACATTAAAGCACCTGGCTGCCATACCTCTCGGTGTCTTTCATCTATCTGTCTGTTATAAGGAGGCTGATGATGGATGCAACTACATTAGCTGGCTAAGTGAATTTTGACGAGTTAGGAAAACTATAAAACAGAAGCATGTGCACTCAAAAAAGCATAGGCCTTAGTTGTTTTGTTTTTTCCCCAAAGCCAGGGAAACTGTTTTGCTTGTTTAGCATTATTTCTGACATTATATGCTTAACTGGGACATGATGACCAGCAGATTCTCTTCCTGTATTGCTACACTGTATTTCTCTTAAAAGCTGACAAAAACCATTTTCCCTTCTCAGTAGATGGCTTTGACGTCAACACAAAGACAACCTGATTTCTTGAAATCAAGAGTGATTGCACTGAATGCCTTCAAACGAACTAGAATTAGGCTTCACACTTGTGAAGACACTGGACACTGATTCTTCATGTCCACACACATGTCTGACTATTGACCATTTGGTAGGGGGCACACATACGATATTCTGTTACCTCTGACCTAAAACTGTCATTAAAACTCCATCATTAATAAGTTTGTGAGTGATTTCTGAATCATCAAAATCTAGCTAGAGTGGGCAGATTTGAAAAATTAATGTGAAGGCTATGACCACTTAAAAAAAGATTTATTTTTGTCATCGACTTTTTCCTATTTGGGCTTTTCCAGTAAGGATGTAATTAATTAATTAATATTTTCAACACAACAACTACAACCCACTCCACTCCCTGGAAAAAATAAAAAATAAATTCAAGGAAGTCCGAGAATCGCAGGATCCCTGACACATTTTATTTTGAAAGTGTTAAGAAGCAGAATGTATGGTTGCAGGTGAGCTCAGAGATAAAGCCAGAGTAGTGAATTCACCTGCACGTTGACTGACTGGACTTTTGAAAAATGAAAATATTTAAAGGTCATTAGCATCAGCACAAGTCTTTGTACCCAAATTATCTGGTATTCTGTCCAGTGCCCTGAGATGACTTCTGTTGTGACTTGGTGCTTTATAAATAAACTGACTTGAATATAAGAGGGGTTTTCAGCTGCAGGATTTGGGGTGAATAAACTTTAGTTCCTCACATGTCCCAGTCAGGTGGACACATATTTTTAATCAAAATAATAAAGCAGGAAACAGTCCTAAATCATCAGGCAGCGACAGACATTAGTGTTCTCCAACACAGCTTTCTCTGCTTTTAAACACTGTTGTTTGCTAACACTTGTTGGGCTATAATAATGAGCTCTCAATGAGTAAAACACAATATAAAAGTAAAATTATAAAGCAAAGTGAAATTGCATTTCCTGTGAAAATGCAGTGTGAATGCTTGTTGCAGAAGAACTAGCAGAAAAACAGCTGAAATTAGCTAAAAACATGCTGAAATGGAGCTGAAAGTGAAAAAAGCCTAAATTAGCAGAATAAATCGGAAAAAAACACATATTTGTTGAGTTGGGTTTAAATAAGCAGAAATGTGCACAGAAATTAGGAAATTAGCTAAAAAAAAGGCTGAAATTGGCCAAATATAACTGAAAAGTAGGTGAAAAAACAGAAGTAATCATAAACTAATAGAAGGAAGTGGAAAGAGTTGAAATGAGCTCAAATAAATGTGCAATTAGCTGAAAAAGTTAAAATTGGCATAAGACAGCTAAATAGTAACTGAAATGTCCGAAAAAGCTGGAACAAGCAGAAATATGCTGAAAGGAGCATAACATGCTGAAATGAGCAGAAAGAAGTTAATTAGGCTGAAAGTAGCAGAAAATACCATGTAAAACTTTAATTTATTTGAAAACTGCTGAAAGTAGCTACACATGCTAAAAAGCTAACTAGAAAAGGTAGAACAAGCTCAAATTAGCAGAAAAAAGCAGAAAGAACTGTTTGTCCAATTAGGCTTAAAGAAACAGAAATGAGCACAAAAGTGGAAATTATCTGAAAAATCCGAAATTGGCAAGAAATATCTGAAAAGTAGCTGAAAAAGCAAAAAAGAGACTTAAGTGAAAAGAGCACATTTTTGCTGAATTAGGCTGAAAAAAGTTAACATTTTTGCAACAAAAAAGCAAACCATGGAATTAGCTGAAAAAACAAAAATTAGCATAAAACTATTACTGTAAATAGTAGCTAAAAGGAGCAGAAATAGCTGACATTAGCTAAAATTAGTTAGAAGAAGCACAAAATTATTGTATTTAGCAGAAACAATCAGAAAGGATCACAAAACTGTTGAAAAAGCAGCTGAAATAAGCTGAAAGTAGCTGAAAAATGTTTACATTTGCACAAGGAAACTGAAAGAAGCTGAAGCTGAACAAAATGTGAAAGGAGCAGTTAAAGGTTGTAAACAGATCTAAAGATTTGAAGGATGTAAAATGAGCTCTATTCATTTCATAAGAGGACAAAAAGTGGCAAAAAAGGATAAATATTTCAAAAAGCTAAAGTTGCAGCAATACCAAAAGTCATATCAGGATTCTCCTGAAAGAGCTGAACATTTTGATATATGACTTGTTGAAAAAGCACAAAAATTGTCGAACGAAAAAGATGCTGAAAAACGTACAGAAGAAAAATGGATCACAATAGGGTGAATGCTTCATAAACATTCACACAACGAAGCATAATATGCTGCAAGTTGGTCTTCTGTGTGTAGCGATGGCTGATGGATGGATGGCCAGGGGAACAGGATGAGCCATGGGGTTGATTTTCCAAAAAAAAGTTGAATATTTACTGACAAGTGTGGAGTGTTTCTGCTTTAAAACACCCATCCCTAGGCATTCATGTTGAACATTAAGCTTTTTTAAAATTTCTGACGTAGTTGTGTTTTTCTCTCTGTAGTGATAAGACTGACATTATCAAAGATATCGCTAAGGTCAACCACTCTGCTGCATCAGGCTAACTGGAAATGAAGTCCCAGCACAGAAAATGTGACACAGACCTGCAGAGAGAAGGCAGCAAGATCATCTGAAAACCTGTCAGCCAGCTCACCTGTCGTTTCCCCACAGCAGACAGACAGACGGATAGACAAACAGACAGGCGGGCAGGCAGATATGTAGCTCAGCAGTCTGTGTGTTCATGATTGAGATGCAGCCAGCATTCTGTCACAATCTGTGCGCATTACCAGTCTGCAAACTGCAGAGCACATTTTGTTCTTACTCACTTGTCTCTAAGGACCAACTGCCAGGTTTTCTGAGTGTCTTGGCTGCTGCTTCTCCTAAACAAGTGAAATAACATTGTGTGCGCAGATTCCAAGTCTGCACAGATGAATATCTATACTCCAATTTTTCTAAGGAAGCGAGTCCTTGGAGGCAGATGACATGTGCATGAGCGTAATAAAGCCTCCTCACTCAAATGCACGCTGGCACAGTATGCACACATACCTGCTAACTCTCTCTCTCACACTCACACGCCATCCTGGGAGTTTTACAACTCAATAATCTTCCTCCAAAGACATACCATTTGTCTCTTCCTCTACAACACAACACACACCAGTGAGCCATGTCACACACACACACGTAAACTCGTGCTACTACCTTGCATGAAGATGAAAATGTGAGTTCACACATAAGCAAACCCCCTCTTTTCTCTAGAAGAGCTGTCCTTATATTTTTTTGGGGAAAATGACACACTTTTAAAAATAAGCCTGCAATCTAAATATACAGACTCAATCATGTCCACCTTCTGTCACAACACACACACATTTATATAATTACTACAGGTTTGGTGATATATTCACATCATGGTCATTTTTATAAGCTGTTAAGTGCTCTTACACAATGTAGCACTTCGTTTTTTATTTTTCTCTCAGAATGTAGGTCAGAGCTTACGCTGAGTTTTACATCTTGCACTCACCGAGTTTCTTTTACACGTGAACGCAGAAGTAATAAACCCTGACGTCACCAACAAAAGAACCACTTTTGTCTTCTCTACTTGCCAATTCCTGTCCCTGTTTTTCCAAAATACACATTTTCGCACTTATAACTGCTTCCCGCAGACGCCCCGTCCCCCTCCCCAGCAGACTCACGTTGGCAGACGTCCTTGTTCTCCTCGAAGCCTGGTTTGCACACACACCTGCCGATGGGGACGAGCCAGCCTCCATCTGCGCTGCAGTACATCTTAGGAGCCTCAAATTCCTCGGAGGCGTTCACGCACATGCCGTGGACCTCCACCAGCGCCGTATCCCCACCGGTTATTGTGTCGGGGAACTGGGCCAGGTTGAGCACCGTGAGGGGACACTTCTTGTAGAAGACCCTGACTGAGACCAGAGCGATACAGGCACCCAAGTCCTGGAAGGCCAGGTAGAAACCCTTTTTACTCAGGTTGCTGATGTCTCGTACCTCCGTGTTCAGCTTCATGACGCGGTCACCAACATCCACCTGGGTACAAATAATATTATATTTTGTCTTATTTAACAAACAATTTGAACTAGAGGCAGCATTTGCTATATTTACCATCTACAGATATCAGAGCATGTTACATAAACGTCTTATCCAATTTTATTTGATGAACTTAGTACATTTACAGAAAACGAGTGTAAATGGACAGTATAATCATTTAGCATAATCCAACAAAGTTCAGTCAGGTCATCTGGATGGTTTCTTTTCTTGTTGAGATGTTTCGTCTTTCATCCAAAGGACTTCATCAGTCCGAGGTGCCACAGCAAACTCAGTCCTACAAGCAGCACACTCCCATAGTGGAACAAACAGTTTGCTTATACTGTTATATTATAGGTGTTTTAAACCCTTCCCACACTCTTGCAATATTCTAAATAATGTTTCCAAACGCTCTGTACTCTGTGCTCTCGGCCACGCCCACTTCTCCGCTGCAGAAAGGAGATCGACAGAGGATGAAGGAGGAGGGAGGAGGAGCTGCAGGAGGACATTTATCCTGCAGCTGTGGGCTGCACACAGGTGCAGCAGGTGCTAAATAATTTTAAATAATTTATTTTAAATAAAAACTGCATGTCAATCGTGCGTCTCATCCATCAATCAGCCAATTGTGTGTCATGTCCAATTTTATTTTGAAAAGCCGCGGTAGAGTGAGTCCGCGAAGGACTACTGTATAAGTTTATAAGTATATAAGTTTAAGTCAATAATAGTCAATAATAAGAGTTTGTTGTGGCCCTGACTTAACTTAGTTGGATGGGTTTTTTTTTTCCGGAGCATGAACTTTGACATATAGCATATCATAATTTAAACATACTTATAACACACAAACTTTGACCAAAGAGATGCTTGTCAGTGTATTTTCACCTGTGTGAAGCTCTCATCTGCAGCAATAGTGTCAATCTTTACATACTGGCTTTCCTTGATGAACCACAAGTTGGCATTGTTGGACTGATAGTAGTACATGTTGAACGTCTGCAAAACAAACAACATAAATCAGCTCTCAACATGGTAAAATGTCACATAAACCTTAGTGCATCTGTCTGAACAGTCATTAGAGAACGTCTGCACTGAAACGCTCCATAACTGAGTAAAGCCTCGATTTATTCTGGAGTGTAAAAGATAAAAACAGAAACTATAGTGGAGAGAAGCTGCCCCATGTGTCTGTGAGAGAAAAAACGTATAACATAATAAACTTTAAACACAAAAACAAACTGCAGAAATCACATTTTTTGTGAAAATGCAGCGTGAATGACAGATTTAAATTGCTTTAAAAAAGTTTCACTTATTGTTAAAGATAAAAAACACAAAAAGTAACAGAAAAAAAGAAGAAAATGATATTTATGATATATGAATGCCTAGAATACAAAATATGTAGATACTGTAGATTGCAAAAAGAAAAACAACATACAATCAAACAGGAAAACAAAGGAAGTAAATGCTGACTCAACATTCACAGGAAAATCCCCAAAAGCCTCTATTGTATCATTCTTCATTGATTTTTTTAAATTTTATTTTTCCATTTCTTGTCTTATCTTCTGTATCTATCCTCCCAGAAAGAGCTGCTGCAGCTCTGACTGCTGAGCCATCAAAGGGTTTGTGTGTGCTCAGTGTGTATCAAATGGAACAGACTGCAAAGTAGAATGATGGTCTTTTACTCTGCTGCAGTCTAAAGTGGTATTTTGTACAAGATATATACTCATTTCATCACAGTGATAATTAAATTAGAAACAATTTGAATCAACTTTCCATGAGCCTGAGATGAAAACACACGTTAATGTGCAGCAAATGAAGCCAGCAGGTAGAATGTTGTCTAATGAAGTGAAATGAATTGATAATTATTGTTCATGTGCTTGAAGATTTGTGTTTAGTGCCTCTCTGCAGCTCACAGCATAACACAACTCTTCCCGCCACCCTTTGAAGTTTATATGACATGTGCAGAGGGATTTTTATTTCAACATGTAAATGTCCTGCTTTGAGTTTCAGTGTATCAGACATTCATATTTTATGTTTTTTTATGTTTGCACACAGTTAAAATGCCAAAGACAAGGCTGATACATAAGCTTGATTCAATTTACTCAATCAGTGAATATTCTCTTGTAACGCAGCTCTGTATGGTGTTTCAGATCTAACTGAGTTATTGATCATTCTCCACAAAAAATAACTTTTTTGTTCATTATTATAAGCTCAGTTACACAACAGCCCCCCCATGGAGCAGCTCAGTCCACAATGTTTTGCTCAGCATGGGTGAACAGGAAGCAGCAGCAGGACAGAGCTGCTTTGTGTGGATGGTGATGATGCAGACCTCCTTACAGGTACCGGGGACACCGGGCAGGCTGTTGCAGTCTCTCAGGGTGAACTTGATCTCGATGTAGACTCGCTGCGCACCCTCCCGGCTGATGTGCCGCGTCCGCAGCCAGTTGTTCTGGTTGGCTTCCATCACGTTGCACACCTGGTAGGTCCTCATCGGAGTGTTCCTCTCATCCATCACACTGATCTCCTCCCACTGAAAACCATGAAGAGGAGGATGTGTTATTTTATTTTTTCCAGCAGAACATTTTGGAGGCAAATGCATCAAATACTGATTTATATATAAAGTAGGGCATATTAAAAGTCTAGCATTCCTTGAAAGAATGCATTTCATCGACTACTTTTATTTGACATAGTTTTAGACATTTTTTACATTGGCTAACGTCAACTGGCTGTGGTAACCATCTTAAATAGATTCATATATATATATATATATATATATATATTTGCCTTATTTAACCAGGCAAATCCCATTGAGATCGCAGGTCTCTTTTGCAAGGGAGGCCTGGGCCTGAAGGCAGCCTAAAATGCATGTTTTTGGTCTGTGGGAGGAAACCGGAGTACCCGTAGAAAACCCATGCAAGCACGAGAAGAACATGTAAACTCCACACAGAAAGACCCCAGGTCCAACCCTGGATCGAACCCAGGACCTTCTTGTTGTGAGGCTACAGTGCTAACCACTGAGCCGTCGTGCTGTCATATATATATATATATATATATATATATATATGCATATATATATATATATATGCATTATTTAAAGCAAATATCTTGAGCAAATTATTTATAGTGGGTCAGTGCTCATATTATAAGTTAGTGCTGACTCAGTTGTTGAAGCCAAACAACTTTTACTATAGTATAGTCATTTTTGTTTACTTTTTCAGATTAGTTGACAGTGGCAGCCATCTTGAATCAAATAATCAGATAAAGCTAATCAGTTGTAGTAAGAGTATCTCTTGATTATTTTCTAGGAGTTTCTATAACTTGTGTCCAGTGGTTTATGGGGTAATGGACAAATATGGACAAAAACAGTCTCAACTGCCTTTCACCTTTTGGTGGCTGGCACTGAAAAAATAGGTAAAGTGCAAAATTATGTAGAAGTTCAAAGAAGAAAAGGGGACTGTGGAGGAAAGATAGTGATAAAAATGTCGTAAATACGTATTAATTAACAGGAAAAACAGACAAATTTATGCTGATCTGGAGCATGAATCTCTAGTCGAAGCCCAAACTGAGGTAACGTTCAGCAGCACGACTGTCTTGACAACAGCATGACTCAGCAGCAAACATCACTGCTCAGCAGACAAAGAAGACATCAGTTCAGACTTTTCTGAAGGGAAAACTCAAGCCAAGTTCACAGAACTGTGAGGTTTGGAGCAAAAACCTGCATGCTCTGTTTTCATGAGGGATGATCTGTGTCAAGATGACTGAAGGAATGTCTTTGTCCACGCTCCATATGTGCACAGAAAGAGTGTGTTTTTCTAAAGCCAATGAGTGATTTGAAGCCCTAAGAGGCAGAAAGTGTGTATTTTGGGTGAGGGACACTGACAGAAAGTCGGGGAAAGAGAGAAGGAGAGAGAGAAGGAGTAGGTAGGACAGAGCTACTTTGTCTCCTGTCATCTGCTGCCATCTGTTTCCACTTCTGGCTGAGGCTGTAATTGAGAACACTTCTCGCATGAACAGGAAAACATTTCTATCCGCGCACACACACATACACACACACACACACACACGCGCACACACGACAACAGCACTGACATACACACACAAAGAGAACATTTCTATTCCTTGAAGGAAGGGAAAAATGGAAAATATACCAATGTGGTTTGAGTGTCTCTGGATAGCTGATCAATTCAAATGCTGGAGAATCTGATTTTCTTGGACACGCACATTAAAACCCACAAATACAAACTGGGTGAGTTCTTGTCTAGTGAGGGATGAGAGGACCACCATCTCTGTTCCGAGCTCCAATCATCATCTAACCGTGAAGTTTTGACCACAGAAGTGGCACAAACATATCATTGAACAGCTGTTTGCTCCTGTACATCAGGGATATACATTTGTTCACATTTACACACACCTGCATGAGCTACCATATACACCAACCAATTCTTTCTAAATGACAACCTCATTTGGGGCAACAACACCACCAGCCTGATTAAGAAAGCACATCAGAGACTCTACTTCCTCAGGCAGCTGAGGTGAGCCGGACTGGGAAGCTCAGTCCTCACCTCCTTCTACAGGTGTGCAGTAAAGAGTATCCTGTGCTCCAGCATCAACGTGTGGTATGGAGGCTGCACAGCTGCAGAAAGAAAAGCTTTGCAGAGAGTGGTGAAGGCTGCACAGAAGTCTGTTGGAGTCAGTCTCCCCACCATCACAGACATCTACACCTCCAGATGCAGGAAGAGGGCCACCTGAATCATGAAGGACCCCACTCACCCAGCACACACACTTTTTGCCCCGCTCCCCTCAAGAAGGAAGTTGAGGAGCATTAAGTGCAGAACCACTAGGCTGAGGAACAGCTTCTACCCTGAGGCTTAGACTCATGAATCCCAAGTCAGGATTATCACTGTGAAAATTATTGTTAAAAAAATATCACTGTAATGCCACTTGGTTGTTGATATGTGCTGCTGACAGTCCATGCTGCTGATCTCATGCTGCTGATTTATTTCATGTTGCTGTGTTCATTCGTCCTCATCTGCTCACACAGACTCATGTTTGTGCTGCTGTTGTTTTGGCACATTATTTTGTACTATTAGTGCTTAGTGTGTTCTTAGTTTAGTGTATTTCTTAGTTCAAATCTTAGATTTTATTACTGTTTTTTCTTAACAATTTGTATTTTTGTTGGCTATAACTGGGACCGTGTGTACATAGTTTCATTCCCCCTCGTACCACATGTGATGTGAATGACAATAAAGAACCTTGAATTCTTGAATATGGACACTTTTAGTTTGGTCAGGTTGCATTAAGAGCAGACTCCTACACAAGCCACTAGCTACAATCCATAAATGGTAAATGGACTGTACTTATATATCACCTTTCTATCTTATCAACAAACTCAAAGCTCTTTACAACACAATCTGTGCCTCATTTACCCATTCATATGGCACTCTACTAGATCTATACAAAGACTAATCAGTACTTTATCACATTCATACACCGATGAGACACACATAAGAGGCAATGAGGGGTTCAGCGTCTTGCCCAGGGACACTTCAGCATATGTCTGCTGGTGGAATCGAACCCCCAACTCTCCCATTGAAAGATGACTGCTCTCAGCCACAGCAGCCCCAATCCAACCATCTATTATCTTCAACCGCTTCTTACTTTTTGGGTTACGGGTGTCACTTGTGCCCATGTCCAGCAGTCACTGTGTGAGAGGTGGGGGACACCTTGGACAGGTCTCCAGCCCATCACAGGGACACATAGAGACAAATGAGACAAACAACCTTTCACTCTCTCACTCACATCTAGGGACAATTTTAGAGTTACCAATCAGACTATGCACACTTTTGGTCTGTGGGAAGAAGCTGGAGTACCTGGAGAAAAGCCACGTATGTACGGAGAGGACATGCAAACTCCATCCAGAGTGGCCCCCAGCCGGGATTCAATCCGGCAACCTTCTCGCTGAGAGGTGGCAGCTTTACCAACTGAGCCACCATGCCACCCCCACTAGTTACTGCTACAAACTACTTTATCAGACCACTCAGTATATGTAAAAGAGTCTGAATTATAACTATATTTGTGTTGGTAAATGTTGATAGACTTAAAAATTAGTTGTAGTTGTTCATCCCTTGATTACGTCTGAATGTTTCATTAATATCTTTCATGAGATATTTTGGTAATAGACATACAAAAAATGCACAATCTCACACTCTGATTTAGACAAATTCATTATCCCCCAATTCTGCCTTTTTGAAGTTGAGCAGTATGGAGAGGTTTAAGGTACTCTGAACAAATGTCAGTTTACAATAAAATAAAAAGTAAAAAAATAATAATACTGATAAAAGCAAAAAGAAATGCATGAAGTCCTCAATTCTAAAATAGACCTAAATAAAAAAACAAACACAGACTGGCACAATTTGAATCTCTATCCCACATTCAGATGCTTTTAATCTCAACAGCCTCCACTTCAGATATGGGGCTGAAACAACTTCCAGCTCCACCTTCATCCAGCAGTCCTTCAGCAGAAACCAAGACAGAAACGTGGAAAACATAAAGAAAAAGAAGGCCGCAAAGCAGCCTGTAAGGTTGAAGACGCCACAAAGCATTATGAATGTTTCAGTGGAGTCTTGCACAACTGTGCACGAGGATAGCGAACAGTCACTGCTACCAGCAACACGGTTCAATTAAAAGGACAAAACTAATGGGGGGAGGGAAGGCAGCGAGAAATAAATGTTGGTACATTACAGGCGCGCCTGGCAGCTAAATAGGCCCATCTGTGCAAAGCTGAGACCAGTCGGACATCACAGGACGGTCACACACACACACACCCACACAAACTCACAGAGCTGAGCCCCCAGGGATTGGTGATTAAAGCATTTATGGGAACAGTCATTGAGGGATAAAAAGGACTTTATGAAGTCTTTGTTTATTTCTTTGTGGGGAAAGTTTGGAGTGGCTGGATTACTGCCACTTCCTGGTGAGAGTCTTATTTCCCTTGCTAGCGAGTCTGTTCATCATCACTTTTTTCTCGGTGTAAAGCACAGGTGTGCGTAAAACAACTTTTGTTGCCTCCACATCTGCTAATGCCACAGCAGCTGTTAAAAAAAATACATCTGGGACATGTTTGTATAAGTTCAAGAGTTAAAGCTCTCTTTAATATTCAGCAGAAACCTGCACAAACATTCTTCCTCTCAAACACACACACACACACAATTCAAGCTATTATGTGTTGATTCTGTCTAAACACCAATTAACATTCAGAATGAACAACCTCCCCACTGAAACCTCAATCACCTCATCCAATCAGCCAGGAACTCTCCTGATTGCTTTGAAGTGAAGCGCAGACGTCACATCAGGGTTTTAGTTCAACCATTCACCAGCTTAAACTAATATCTCATCTGATGGGTTTGCCTACAACAACGTAATTGGCCTAGAAGTTCTGTTTTAGCGAAGTTGGGAGCAAAGAGGAGAAAGAAGTTTAGAAATGGATGGAGCGCACATGCACATGTGCACGCACACGTGCACGCACACACG